GAGGTATAAATGTTTTTTACCTCACCATCAGTGATAAGACAATTTGTAACTACGCACGCACTTGAGAGTAATATCAGAGGCAATCATGATTTTCTGCAATCAAGTCGAGGCTACACTCTTGAAGGCGCTCTGAGCAACTATTCCACCACAGAGGTATTGCACAGTATCAGACGAAAATGAAGGCGCTTTAACGTTTGTAAATTGACTGTTATCCATCCACAGAGAAAAAAAGGAAGATGATTGTGATTTAACTTTGCGCGGACAATTCTTGCGTCCATCCCACGATACGTGATGTCACTAGGCACAGTTTTGATTACCAATATCTCAGGAACGGTGAATAGAGGTGTCAAAAAACATGTTAACTAAATTACTTAATTTTCAAAATACTTCCAGAAACGTTGAAAATAGTGACTAAGTACGACACTTCAGCTGATTTTTTTGTGTCAATCACTTAGGTACGTACAAACCTTGGACTTGCAATCACTTCTCTAATTTCTCTACAACCTTCATTGGTGGAGAGGGCCAAGTCTCACGGGACACATGGGGATTTTCAAAATTTTGAGTATTAATTTCACATATCACTGAAGAAAATAGTTACGGGCCATATGTAGACAAAACTCCGTTCCAAGCTCAGAGGCCAAAAGTTACGGGTGCTACGTCCGAACCTACACTGAGAAAAAGCTATGGTTTATAAACCTATTAGTGGTAAACATGGAACACCTATAATAGTCGTAAATAAACTAGTGATTCTCGGTCTGTGAACCATACTAAGGTCTCTGTACCTAATTAAGGTACAGAGACCATAACTAAGGTATATGTGCTATTATTATATGTAGAGGTACTACTATTAGTGGTGTTCCATATTTACCTCTAATAGGTTTATAAGCCATAGTTTTTTCTCAGTGTACCGGCCTTTGAGCCCGGAACGCGGACAGAATGTCTATAAAACCCGTAAGTACAGCTTCCAGGGCTGGAATTTTTTTTATCGCACGTTCAAATAATTTGAATTCCAGCAGGAAAAAACCCTACAATTTCCTCCGGGACCGCGGAATACCTTTTGAAAACTACTTGCAATGCACACACCGCCATTTTGGCAGCCTGGCAAATACATCGCAACGCACACATTCACCTGAACGAGGAGCGAGTCATTTTCCGCTCAACAAGGGGCAAACAGCAGATGAAAACTCCCGAGCCTTAATCAACTTGCAATTAGCGCAGAGTCGTCTACTACACCCCCGCCCCCTGTAACACNCTACCCCCCCCCCTCCGCCACTAACGACTAACGCGTAACGCACATATTCGCCTGACTGCCGATACCGGCGACCCACCGACTATACCGTATTACGGAAAACAGCAGTAAAAGCATCACGACGTAAACCGCGATTTGCGCACATCGCGTGCACCGCAGGGCTCAAACCCGAAATGTGCTTACTGATCTTTTTCGTGGCGGGTTTAAGTTACTGACGCGTTTATGCAGCGGAGCGAAGTGTCATTTCATGCGGGGATGAAAACGAGTAGGCGAAACGATCGACAGTATCCCGATTAATTATATGCACGAGTTCGTAAGCGATAGCGCGGACTGGCCTTTTGCGTTTACAAACGGGGTGGTGCATGAAAGCTGATTTACATTTTCAACGGACGCGAAGTCCGTAAAAGCTGCGCGAGCCACTTCAGAGAGAGTTCAGTCGATAGAATATGTGGGAGAACTCGTCATCTCCTGCCGGCCAAAGTGTCACAAGCGCCATGTGACGTTTCAAAATTTCCGCCGAAATTTTTACGGAGAAATTGTTGGATGAATCTGTTTGAAAATTTCACTGGATTTTATCGGCACACAGTGGGTAGAGTCAATAGAAGAGGCTGGACAAAATGCGGAATTTGCAAGCGCTTAAAACTCCGTTTATACAAAACTTTGAGGTTCTAAAAGTAGGTCCATTGAATTCCTCGTGAAATTTTCTGCCATAAGGCCTTCTTAAAATTTAAAATGTGACGAAATAAACATCAAAATTTGCAGTTTTAGTCAACAATTTCATGTCCAACCCCTCTAATTGAATCGAGCCACTAGGCGGCAGCACAGAGAAAATTCAATGAAAATTTCGTACAGCTTCGTTGAATAATTTGTCTGTGTACTCCGTTGAACGAAAGCGTTTTGGATGCAAACCTTAGCTAGATCCTGTTCCTTCAAAAATTGGTGACACTTCCCCGATGAAAATTAAAGGAAAATAACAATAATTGTGCTGATTTGCGGAGGAGGAATTTAAATAGGTGAAGATGTGCCCCTCTGTAATCCTATACCATCATTGTTTTAGTTCCGATCAGATTTTTTAGTTATCCCGCTTGCAAGGACGTCGTGTTGAATGTTATTACAAGGTGACCAATCTCTCCTAGAAGGAGCATTTGGTTTGGTAAGAGTGTTTCTCTCCGTTATCTTCTAGACACCTCCTCTAAGTTAATCCTAAGTTCTAAGTTAATCCTACGGATCAAAATCTCGAAACCCAATATGATTTTTCGGAGAATAAAAGGCTGCAATAGCAGACTTTTCACAAATGTTTTTCGTGCATCATCATCTCATCCTCACTATCATAATTTTAATTCCTATAGCTTTGAAAAAAAAGAAGCTAAATATGCCGTCAAAAAATACGTTTTCTTAAATCAAGAATGTTGCAGCTTAATTCAAGCTACTTTTTTTGTTTAACCCAAGCGTCTTTTCCTTGCTTTAAGGAAAATTCAGCTTGAATCAAAATGAAAAAACCTCAGCGGCAAATTCAGAAAGCATCACGCTTTAGCCAAGCACCTTTTTTCTTAGTGAGAAATTTTGTCCGATTTCTTTTTGGAAAATTTTTCAACTTCTTATAGACGTTTTAACTTTTTGTCAGGAAACCAGGGAATATTCTGACTTAACATTTTGAGAATATTTTCCTGATAATTTAAGAGAATTTTACCGACATTTTCAAGGCAATAAGTTTTTCTGTTTACTGTGAAACTAATGTAACACGAGAGAAATTTAGGCAACATGAAAAGCAGTTAGACTGATTTTACAGGAATCTCTCCGATTCATAAATTCGCGGAGCCCTCTTGATGAGAGGCTAATAAGTTATTCACGCTCCAGAGATTCAACACAGAAATGCTGGAGTGAGTGAATTTTTTGCGGCCGAAAAAGAGTAAATAAACAAGGGCGGAGAGGAAAAGGGATCATGATGGGTAAAGGGCTTTGCGCTCGCTTTTTGGGGGAAAAAATCCGGATAATCTCTCTCAATTGCGTTTGATCTGATGAAATCCTTGTTTAATTTCCGATTGATTCGTCGTTAGGTAGAGCGAACCGGAAATGAAGTTCGCATAAACTCCATGGCTTCCTTTTTGGGCTTTTAAATAAAGAAATTACTGGCTGCATAACATGTATGCACATGCTTTGTACCGATAAAGCATGTGCACTATTCACCATGTGGTAGTTTAAACAAAGAAGAGAGCAGGTTGAAGAACTGAATAAATACGTGAGCAAACTGTAATTTAAATATTAAGTTATTAGAAACGGAAAAGAGGGAAGTCTTTAAATAGATTGGATGCGATTAACAGGAAATAAATAAGACTTGAAAATATTTTCATTTCCATTTTTAATTCTCATAATTAATTCTCATTATTATTCCGATTTATATCATCCTAATCGTTCAAAATATATCTTTTTCCCCGTTCCTGATCACTCCTGTATTTTAATTTTAATTTACTCACCTAATAAGCTATTCAACTTTCCCTCAACTTTGTCTTGAAATGCACAAATTCTTTGAGAAAATTTGGCAACGTTTAGACTTAGCTCTACGCACACAGAGTCGAATCGCATTAGACATCTTAGGCAAAAATGCAATCGAAGAAGAAACTGTTTCAAACGATATTTTTAAGGGATTTAGCGTGGAGTGACGACAAATAAAAACGCCTTCAATTAATTAAATAGGCACGATGAGCTCTCATGAGTTCGAATAGTGGTATCACATCCTACAGACCATTTGGACTGCATTTTGCAATTTGGAACTATAAATTTTGGCGCATCTGAAAAAATACTTATGTACTTAGGGAAACTAATGGCTCATACGTTGTTTTTAAACCGGGCCAGAATGTATAGTTCCGAATTGCAAAATGCAGTCCATTTGGCCTGCATTTTGCAATTTGGAGCTATAAATTCTAACTAATCTAAAAAAACACTTATGTGCATAGGGAAACTAATGGCCCATACGTTGTTTTTAAACCAGCCCGAAATTTATAGTTCTTAATTGCAAAATGTAGTCCATTTCTTAAGGTTTTCCGCGTAAATTCTTCCTGCCGTGCTGAGAACAAAAGCTGTGAGCGCCTCTAGATGTTACCGTATTTTCTTCGCCAAAAAATTCTATTTACTTGAAAACTTTCGAACATTTTTCGTTTAATTTTTATGAGAATTTTGTTGGCAATTTAGTCTAACATATCTGAAAAGTCCAAGGAAAAATATACAAAAATTTTATCTGAATAAATTTGACATCTCTTGAATGTTCATATGGTGTTCTTCCTTAGCACGGCAGTTTGGTTGGCAGTTAACAAATTGATTAACTTGAAATAATTGATCTGAATATTTTTCTTTAAGTTACCCAGTTCTCATCATACGTAGAAATTTCAGTAGAGTCTACTCGTAATTTCAAGCAGAATTTATTTGGCATAAGAGCACCGAGAGCATCTGTGTTGTTTCTGTGATTAAGGTACTTTTCCCCCGACGAAACAACTTGAAGTAACTCAAAAGAATTGAATTTCATAAGTAATGCATTACGGCGGTTTTCAAGGATGATTTCAGTTCTCAAAAGGTTACTTTTTCGAGTGTGCAGGTAAAAACTGTTGCAATGCGGTTCATTTCCAGAATAAAAAAGTTGCATTATGATAACATCTTGAATCTTGGTTTTTTGTAGGCCACGCCGCTAATCCATTTCCTCAGAGCTATATCAAAAACAACAAAAACAACTACCGTAGAGACTAAATAGCACAATTACCATGATAAAAGATCCAGTCAGAGTTGTTAATCTGAAACTGGTTGCTCGTTGGATTCTCAGGAACCTGGTAACGAATACTGGATGCACCAACACCACTTCAAAAAAATCATTTCGGGTTTTCCCATCAAACCACGATCATCTCGTCGTTTTTAAAAACAAAAAACAACGAACGACCCAGCGCAACATACTGAAACCCAAAAATCTGATCAACAAAACTAAACTTTAAGAAACTGTCGTCAACTTCAGATCGCACGTCGAAAATAAATTCTCATCGCACTACTTAATTATCGATTCAACAGTCTCAATAGTCATTTTTCCCCCGAAATAGCGACTCGCTATGAATTACAGGTATTAATTGATGCAAAAATGTGAAGGAATTGTACGACTTAATCTGATCATTCAAATTAATTAACCCTCTTGAGACGTAATTATACGCGCGAAAAAACTATTATTCTTCGAAGAATGTTTTGTCTCTATCACCATAATTATTGTAAAAGGCGCAAGAAATGAGAGGTTAGAGAGTATTCGACCCGGCGGAACGAGATTATCAAAAAAATTGTGTACATTTATTTGATCGAACCATAATTAAAACAGCGAATTTCATCCATTTTTGTATTTCAGCTCGAACGAGATGTCTCCGCAGTTGCTGGGCTGGTTAAAAGTTGGGGGCGCGCCCCCACCGTGAAACCGGTTTCCAATCGGCTCGTTTTAACCACTCAAAATCCATTTCAATTTGCGGTGCATCGAGACCGAGGCATAGGGCGAGCGGCTCGCCGTGCGCTTGCGAGGATCATGCCCGGAACGCGAGTGCGGGACATTGGATGCGCCCGAGAATCACGCGGATACCACCGGCGAGGCGGCGAAGCGGGGCATGTTGCGGCGGTTGGGGAGCGACTGAGTTGCACCGGACAGTCGGGGTGCCGATTTCGTCGCCCCTGAGCCTTGCACAGGCGCATCTCTCCCCCTCCTCCTTCGTCGCCCGACCGCTTCGGGCACGCACCCCCCCCCCTCTATCCCGGCGTTGTGCGGGATTTTGGGATGGCTCATCGCGCCGTTGACACGGTGAGAAGATGTCGTTTTGAGGATGTCGATGGCAAAATTCCAAAATGAGATAAGCCCATACAGCCGTGCTGAAGAGAAACGTCGTATGGGCCTTCAAACTCTGCCAAATTCAGGGTTGCCACAAAATATAGAAAATGAAATTTCCTGAGATTTCCCTGATTTTCCTAACAGTTTTGAGTAAAATTCCCAGGCCATTTTTTTCCCCCTGCTGGTTTGATAGTTCCCTGACCATTAAAGATATGCCATATGGCCCAAAATACATGATTTGAAATGGTTTCCGGGCAAAATTTGTTGTTCTAAACGTCGAACCTACTCCCCGGGTAAAAATTGGCGATAGGAGCTGCGTTTCAAAATACCATACTTAGGAGCTCTTATAGGCAACTAAAGAATGCTACAGAAAAGTATAAAGCTGGCAGAAGTAGAAAGCGGAGAAAATCACACAGCAGGGCCATACGAAGCGATGAAAAATTATGCAGCCGGGCTATAGTTCCTATCGCCGGGCTATACAGATTATCGCCATCGGCTACAAAACGCTATAAAAAATTGTGTAGAAATTCGTGCGCTTGGTAAATCCTTAGGTTTGTACGGAATCACCTTAATATTTACAAAACACACATTATATTTTCCTTCAATACGTTTTTTTTTTTTTTTTTTTTCATTAATTAAAATTAGAATAATCCATACAAAGTGTGCAAACATTTCAGAATCAAGAGTTGAAAAACGCTGACTCCGCGAGATTAAATATTGGAGCCTAACACAAAGCGGAGCGGCGATGCACTGGCGCCTACAAACCTAACAGGGATACTTCACGCATTGCGCAATGCGTGAAGTATCCCTGTTGGGTTTGTAGGCGCCAATGCGCGTTTCGCGCTGGCTGCCCGCCCGCCGCGCCGCGCCGCGCCACAGCGTGCCTCGGCGCTTGAAGCAACTATTTCACACACAGTATCAAACGACATTGGAGGCGCTCCAACATATTAGGAATGGCAGGCATCCCTCAAAAGCACGGAGCTTTCCTCGCAAAATAAATCAAGATGCTATAGGCCCAAAAAGAGAGCGTTGGTCCAAAAACTCACCAAGTCCTATAGCATTCGTAATTAGTAACGTTCAGCATACCATTTATCGCCTGGCTGTTGCTTAATCGCCATCGGCTATGAAAGGCTATAAGAAATTGTGTAGCCGGCTATAGAAACTATTGGATATCTTACAGCCGGCTGTAGGTCTATGGTATTTTGGAACACAGATTCTACTACCAATTTTTACCAGGGTCTAGAAAGCTAATAAAGGTAAATTAAAAATTTTCCCCTGACACTTTCGTTACTATCCCTAATATTTCCAGGTTTTCCCTGACTTTTAAAAATTCTTTGACATTTACCGGTTTTCCCTGACTGTGGCAACCCTGGAAATTGCCTTACAATTAGAAAAAACACGGATTTTTTGGTAAACTTACAAATATTCCTCCTCTAATTGTTCAGGTAATCTTGTTTCCGATGAAGGGTCTCGTTCTACTTAAATTAAGCGACAAGCGGGCCTCAAAGGGCGCGAGGCGCCCTCTGGGGGTTGGATCGCGTAACGGCCAGGGGGCATAGCTCCCTAATATTTAGCTAAAACTCAATCTTATTTTTTTTTTTTTAGATTGAGAGAACAAAATCCTGACATTAGGTTTATTGTTCAACACAAAATGGTCAAAGAAATTCGCAATACGCATTGGGACAAGAAATTGCTAACGACCAAAATCTAAATCTTCGCTGCTAGATTAGATTAGCCTCATCATCAAATGTTTGATTTCAGTTGATCAAACACGCATTTCCATGGAGGTCGATGGAATATCTACGCTTCTTTCCTTCCTCCTTTGAAATTAAGCCGTGGGACTTATTTTAAAAGAAACAAAAATGTTCATTTCTAACACCGTTTGGAGGCTTCTCACTAAACTCGCTTAAAGTCGGACATGGAAAGAGTGGTTCGCGGATATCATGTTATGACGGCCCTTGAATCCTTCACGCTTATGGGAGTAGGAGAGGGGGGGAGGGCGGGGAAAGAATAACACTGTTCGAAAAAAATGGAGCAGACGGATGGAGCCTTACCTAATGGAGAAAACAGGACCATTGTGTGTACTTACACGTGGATCACAGCGTTGCAAAACTTCTCGAAAATGACACGGGTACATACTACTAGGGATCCGGGGAAATCATTTCAAATGGCAACAAGCCCGGTGTTATTGTTCGCCGATTTTAGGGTACGACGTGAGCTCCATATTTATTTTCAATTTTGGACTAAGGCCGTGGAAAAGGAAGGGGAGTGGAGGGGGGAGGGTGAAAGATCGGCTGTTATGGCTGGGTTTTTTCGACCATTCAGCGCATAAAAGGCTGTGCAAAAAAGTGATTATTTCTATCTAACGGTCGTACTATGTATTAATGACATCATTACCTTGCTTGATTAAACAGGTAGGTAAGATGAGAGGTAATTTCGCTGTCATGTACTCATGATGGAGATGTTGCATGTCGACGGTGAAACTACCAAACCACGTATCTCGTTTGCGGTGTTTAAAAATCTACGCTCACATTTTATTTTTTTGAAGTAGACCAAATCAATATCATTCCTTGAAATTTTCACGGAATTTTCTCCGCACAAAGAGAAAATCACAGAAATCACAGAAATTTTCAAGACTGGATATTAAGTAGTTTTTCATTTAAAAAACAAGCAGGAAGCTCCAACGCATTGGCGTCGGAGAGCGGCTCTGGGGGCAGTAGTTGTAGTCAAGAATGAGGGCCTAGACACATTTTGTCATTGATGTACAATCCGACAACTGTCGATTCATGTTTTGTAACTTAGCAGATTTACGTAGCCGGTGTATAAATGTGTATTGGGCTTTGATATGGCGAATACATGGCATTATCACTTGTTGTATACTTTTAATTTTGAAAGCTCTTTGGAGGTCCGCTTCCTAAAAAATCTCTGGTTGATAAGTCGTTTAACTAATCGGAACTGTATGAATGAATTGCTCCTTTTAAAAATCAAAACAATATCGAATTGCGATATATTACACAGTTAAGATAGGGCTATGTCCTGTTGTAAGCGGCGACATACAGTCGATATCATTTCAATAATCGCCCCAATGGCCACGATAGTTGTTAGACGTTTACGGTTTCCCTGGTAACCTTTGTTTGCTATCAGCTGATATCAAGTAATATGACTAGGAAGCTCCAACCCAGTGGTTAAAGCTTCCTTAACCGCGAAAACTTTAAAATTCAAATTTTCAAATTTTGAACGTAAAGTACATTTTTTCCATCACGAGATAAAAGCACAAACAAGTTTTGAATTGTTGACTGTATCACCATGATTCCAAAAATACAATACACAACATAGCATTGACTAACAATAAAACAGTATGCAATAAAATAAAGTCATGACAAGGAACATAGCCGAAAATGGCGCCGATTCCCATCAACCAACGCGCGGTCTCTACAATGTAACATGCTGCATTGATACTCCCCAGCTGGGACCGTCCGGAATAGCAGCTCTAGTGCAAGCACCAGAGCCGCTAATAAAGTACGAGACAGGAAGTCTGCGACGTTGCAAACCGAGATACGTGGTTTGGTAGTTTCATCGTCGATGTGTGAGGAATTTGCGATTTGACTGTTGATTCTTATGTAAAAGTTCGCGAGAAACACGATGTGGCCACTGGTTTTCTCTGAAATTAACTCCCAAGCTCAAAAAAAGCTCTCAAGTTGAGGCCAAAATGGAGGGGATATCCCACGCAATCCTGAGAGTCTACATATACATCAAGCCGAACTCTCCATGCAAAGATAGGGGGCAAATACATTGACAGGGCTGCCACTTAGTTTGGAGACTCTAAAACTGAAAGCACGGCATCACTGCTAATTTATTTGCTCCCTATCTTTGCATGGAGAGTTTGTCTTGATGTAGAGGTGGTCTCTCAGGATAGCGTGAGATATCCCCTCCATTTTGGCCTCAACTTAAGAGCTTTTTTTGAGCTTGGGAGCTGCGATTTCAGAGAAAACCAGTGGCACCATCGTGCTTCTCGTGAACTTTTACGTAAGGATCAATGGTCAAATCGCAAATTCCTCACACATGCAACACCTCCATTGATGACTTTCGTATCAAAATTTCGCTCATACAGGGCTCGAAATTCCTTCTAGGCTCCTGTGTCTGTACGTTCACCCTATAGTTGAGGCCTACCTTCATTTTGGTAAAAATCCAGTCAAATTTAAGTACTCTTACGGAAGGAAATCTAGTAGTGGGCAGTGGTCAAGGCTTAACAAAAGACCAAAGATCTCTTTTAAAGATGCCAAATCCGGTTTAAAGCGAAGATCTAATCAGGAGCACTCGGTGGATGGATCGAGGGGTTCTTGGTGACGTCGAGGCAGCATCGTCAGGAAGCCCTGTTGCCAGGTCGTGACTAAATAGTAGGTGGGCAACCGAGAACGGCCGAGAATAGATCGATGGTGAAACAAAAGAACCCCAGTAAGGACGGGTTAACTCTCAATTCTTAAAAAAAAAAAATCAGCGTGGGTAATATCACACGGAGAAAAAACCTCGTGCGTGGGACCCGAAGTTTAGGTCATATGGATCTCTGAAGTTTCCGGATTTAGCATCTAAACACTTTAGGTCTAGCTGTCGAGGTTCGGATCACACATCTGAAACTTCAGTTCTTACGTCTGAAGCAGTTCAGATGTGAGAACCGAAGTTTTTCGGATGTGAAAACCGAAGTACTTCAGATGTAAGAACTGAAGTTTCAGATGTGTGATACGAACCTCGACAGCTGGATCTAAAGTTTTCAGATGCTCAATCCGAAAA